TCCTGCCAATGGCGCCTATTATAATGGATTTTGGACTATCTGTTTTGATAGTTTAGGATTTAAACTTTGGTATTCGGGTAGGAGTCGTACTAGAAATGGTGTGGGTGTTATTATAGATAAGAGTTTAAAGAATAGTGTTATAAAAATTAATAGGATTGGAGATAGAATTATAGCTTTAAAGATTGTTGTTGATGATAAGATTATTAATAATATAAGTGCTTATGCTCCTCAAGTAGGTTTGGATATGAGTTCTAAATTAAATTTTTGGAATGACTTAGAAGAATTAATACAAAATATACCTCTTGAAGAAAGAGTTTTTATTGGAGGAGATTTAAATGGACATGTTGGTAGAGAGGTAGATGATTTTAAAAGCATTCATGGTGGCCATGGATTTGGAACGACGAATGAAGGTGGCAAGATCATATTGGATTTTTGTTTAGCTTATGATTTTTCAATTGCTAATACCTTATTTAAGAAAAGGAATGATCATCTCATCACTTATAAAAATGGATATAGCACAACCCAGATTGACTATTTTCTTATTAGAAAATTAAATCGTTTAGATTGCAAAGATTGTAAAGTTATTCCGAGTGAAAATTTATGTACCCAATATCGATTATTAGTTTTGGACTTTAAGATAAAGGGGCATAAAATAAAAAATAAAGTAAAACAATTTTCTAGGATTAGATGGGGGCATTTAAAGAATATTAACAAAAATATTTTTAAAAATAAGATTTTAGATCTTAAGATTTTGTCTGTGCATGAAGATGCTAATATTATGTGGGAAAAAGTGGCTAGTGATATGAAGAATATTACAAAAGAAATCCTCAGAGTATCAAAGTAAAAAGCTCCTAAAAGTAAAAATAGTTGGTGGTGGAATCCTAATGTGCAAGAAAAAATTTGAAAATAAGATTGACTTTAGTGACCTTAGCATCCTAAATGAAAGTAAAGATTTCTGTTTTTATCGGCGTATTAGTAAAACTGAAGTTAGAGAGGCTTTAAATAGAATGAAGGGTGGAAAAGCTGTTGGACCTGATGATATTCCAATAGAGGTGTGGAAATGCTTAGGAGATGAAGGAATTTCATGGCTTACTAAACTTTTTAATACTATTTTGAAGACTAAGAAGATGCCAGATGAGTGGAGAATGAGTGTGTTAATTCCTATTTTTAAGAATAAAGGTGATGCACAAGATTGTGCGAATTATAGAGGTATTAAGTTAATGTGTCATACTTTAAAACTATGGGAGCGAGTTTTGGAGCATAGGTTGCGGCGTGATACTAATGTTTCTCAAAATCAATTTGGATTTATGCCGGGTAGGTCGACTATGGAAGCCATACATTTATTCAGAGGTTTGATGGAAAAATATAGAGGAAATAAGGAGGATCTACATATGATATTTATTGATTTAGAAAAAGCATATGATAAAGTTCCAAGAGAAGTGCTATGGAGAGTTCTTGAAAAGAAAGGAGTCAATAATGCTTATATTCAAATCATTAAAGATATGTATGCAGGAGCTATTACTTGTGTTCAAACACAAGGTGGATTGACCAAGTATTTCCCTATTTCGGTTGGGTTACATCAAGGATCAGCCTTAAGCCCATATCTTTTTGCTTTAGTCTTGGATGTTCTCACTAGACATTTGCAAGAGGATGTACCTTGGTGTATTCTTTTTGCTGATGATATTCTTCTTGTTGATAAGACTAGAGAGGGAGTTGAAGGTAAACTTGAATTATGGAGGTCAACCTTAGAGTCTAAAGGTTTTCGCTTGAGTAGATCTAAAATGGAATTTATGGAGTGTAATTTTAGTAGTAATAGGCCTAGTGAGGGGATTGTGACTTTGGGCGATCAAGTCATTAATAAGAGTACATGTTTTAGATATCTTGGATCTATTGTTCAGAGTGATGGTGAAATAGATGGGGATGTTATCAGCATAATTCAAGTTGGATGGTTGAAGTGGAGGAATGCATCGGGCTTGTTATGTGATAGAAATGTACTCCTCAAACTTAATGGAAAAATTCTATAAGATGGTAGTGAGGCCTGCAATGCTTTATGGTGCCGAATGTTGGCCATTAAAAGAGAAGCATAATACTAAGCTAAATGTGACAGAGATGAGGATGCTCAGGTGGATGAGTGGCTTTACCCTTAGAGATAGGATACGAAATGAGCATATACATGAAAAGGTTGGAGTAGCTCCAGTAAAAGATATGATTAGAGAGAGTTGCCTTAGATGGTTTGGTCACATAAAACGGCGGCCTTTCGATGACCCGGTTAGGAGAGTAGAGGTATTAAATTTGACTTATGTTAAGAAAGGTAGGGGTAGACCTAAAAAGACTTGGTTAGAAAATATTAGGAATGACCTTTCTTTATTAGATTTAAACGAGAATTTGACTTTTAATAGGACACAATGGCAAAAAAGGATTCATGTAGCCGACCCCACGTAGTGGGATAAAGGCTTGATGTTGTTGTTGTTTTGCTGCATTTCAATTTTCAAAGCAAAATTTACAGCTTGGGCAATCGACCAAACCGAGTTCAACTTGAATATGTCTTGAATGCTATCTTTTAAACCTCCAATATAACGTGCCACCAGTTGATTTGCAGATTCATTGAGGTTACTTATAGCAGTCAAAAAATTAAATTCTTTCGTGTACTCACTTACAGATCTTTCTCCTTGAACACAATGCTGGTACCTCATGTATAATATATGTTCATAATTTGTAGGCAAAAATTGGGCTCTGAATAGTTCTTTCATCTTATTCCAACTCCGAACTTTTCCCTTGCTTTCTGGCTGCCTCATTTGTATAATTTGTGCCCACCAAGCACTTGCACCACCCTTCAGCCTACACGTTGCATATTTCACCTGTTTGTCTGGATCAATCTCCATATATTAAAAAAAATTTCAACAGCGTTTTCACAATCAAAGTAATCTTCTATATGCATATGTCTGTTAAAAAAAGGGATATCTAACTTAACTTTGAATTATCCTGGATGGTAATGGTAATGTGTCGGTCATTTGTGCCTACGGTAATGCAGATGATACACGTTGCCTCCGTCTTCTTCTTCGCCGGACTCCATGAAGTCCGTTTGCCTGTAAACCTGTGTATCATACTCCGAATCAGACATTTCTTGAATGTTTGCAGGAGTTCGGTTAAAGTGTCTGGCGTCGGCTAATCCCCGATACTGCATTGGTATATTTACAGGTATTTCTTCCTGATGCGGTTGTTGGTGAAGTTGCCTTGCCTTATTGAGATTGAACTTACGGCGTAATTCCACCGTTGTAAAACCCGAAAATCCTATTTAAGGCATCGCACGCTTTTTAAAGCGCCGCGACGAGAATTTAGTGAAATTTTCAACGTTAACGGAATACAACGAAACTAATTTTAGAAAATCCTACGCGAAATTTTGATCGTTTTGGTATATAGAAGTTATACCAAATTTTGCCTAATTAGAGAGTTATTATTTTTAGAAGTGTAAAAATACCAAAACTACCCTTCTCTATTCCTTCTGCCGAAATTACTTAACTGAGGGCAAGGGAGTCATTTAGCAAACCCCAATTCCTCTTAATAGGCATAACCGACCCCTCCCCCTTCTCATTTTCACGCAAACTATCGGATTGAACGGGAGAGGCGGACGGGATGGACGGCTAGGGCTCGACGGGTTTGGCTTCGGCGATGATTTTCCGGCGAGAAATTTAGGTTGAATCGAAGAGGGCGACGAGGGAAACACTCTGGTATGATTATTTTCAAGTGAAATTTTCTAAATCTCTAAATATTCGAGAATGAAATTTCTAGGGTTTTATAGGATTTTAGTTTTCTTTCTTAATTTCTTTACGAAAATTTTAAGGAAGGATTAGAAGATTATTTTAACAATGAAAATGAAGGAATTTGAGAAATTTTAGAAGATTTAGAAAGTAGGGTTTTTGACCTAAAACCTTAATTTTGTAAGACACTTTTATGAAAATGATTCCTAAGGGTTTAAGAAATGCTTTTAATGAAAAATTTTAAGTTTTAGTAAAAATTTCATTTTCTTAATTTTTGTGATTATTTTAATCCGAAAATTTATTAGGTGATTATTAAATATTGTTTAGGATTAAATCTAGAATAAAGATTTGAGGAATTTAAGAATTTAGGGTTTCTAAAATTTAGACATTTTATTAATTCCAAAAATAGAAAAAAAATTATGTTAATTATTGGATATGATCATGATGTATGCTTAGTTAGATTTTAAATATTTTTTTTAGGTGAGGATTAAGGTGAAGGCAAGTGATTGAATGACGTCGTACGTCATAGAAGCCTACTTGAGGACGTTAAGGTAGGTATTCATACCCCTTTTAATTTTATAAGTGTTAAATTTTATTCATATTTAGAATGCAATTTCATGTGTTTATTTTACTGTCAATATTTTATCTACTGTCAATGTTTTGATGTTCCTAATTTTAAGAATACCCAGTTTCATGCTTTCATTTCATGCATTAATGTGAAAGACAATTAAGGTATATGAATAAATAAAATGATTATGAAAGAAAATGAAAAGAATTTAATGAAATAAAATTTCATGTGTATGTTGATCCGGATGTGCCTAACAAATGGTAAAGGGGCTTGTAAAAGCCAAATGATAAAGGGGCTTGTAAAAGCCAAATGGTAAAGAAAATGGCCAAAATTTGACTGCATACTTGATCAGTACGAAAAAGGGTACTTCCGGGACGGATGATACATTTAGCATATTCATTTTTACATTTTGCATTGCATATGAAAGAAATGAAAGAAATAAATGAAAGAAATCAATTGTTAAAGGAAAGAATGAAAGGAAAAATTGAATAGTACATGTTATGACTTGTTCAATGAAATGAATTAGTTTTCAATTGTAAATGTTTTTAATATATGCATCTTATGAAATTAATTGTGATATGAATTACCTGCTGAGTGTTGGCTCATTCCTATTTTGGAAATATTTTTCAGGAGAAAAGTAATGGCTGCATGACGACCTTACACCTATCGTCGTAGGGGACCTCAGGAGGATGAAAGGTTCCTTTTTGTGTTTTCAATTTGAGTCTTTGTATTTGTTTCAGTGTAGTTCGTGAATTTGAGGTTTATGTAATTGTGAAAGTTTATGTTGTGATGATGAATTTGAAAGTTTTATTGGTTATGAGACAGTTGATCACTTTATAACATTTGAGTTTGAAGTTTATTAGTGGCTCTTTCATGTATTTTGGGATGATATGTATGTTCTAACCTTAAGTTTTAAATGAAATTATGTTATGTGTTATGCTCTTCCGTACGATCGTCTGTTCCCTCCCCGATATAATCGGGCTAGCCGGGCTGGGTCGTGACAACCGTCAACCACTGCAGATCTGCCGCTAACTCATCCAGCCGTCGATTGACATTGTTTTGGTTTGCCCAAAGCGCCTCAAGAATTAGAACTCCCTCGGTCATTGGTTATTTGTCACGATTTTGAAAGTTCGTTAGGGATACTAGGCACTATGAATTGGCCCAAGGCTAACTGGATAACTTTAAAATCAAAGATAAAACTCAAACAAAAAATCATCACAGAAATTAAAATGCGGAAAAAAATTACGTAGAAGCAATAATAAGAAAGAACATATCAGATTTATAGTGGTTCAGTCAAACCTTAACTTACGTCCACTCCTTAGAGGCACCATCCAAGTATTGCACCACAAAAGTGTCTCAATCGTTACATCGTGCTGGACGATATCACGATGGTCGCAGACGATTAATTTAAAACCGATCTCAATCGTCCTGGTCATTGCCCGGAATAGATGTTGGCCGATGTAAATCGTCCAGGCCATCGTCCCGGCCGATCCTACGATCGTCCCGGATGATGTGATCGTATCAATCAGCCATTAATGCTTTCAAAATATACCAGATCAATTTAGGCATAATTGAGTTAGATCGTCCGGGACGATGTGTATATCGTCCTGGCCGATTGCTTAAAATAAAGAATACCTAATCTGATCATGGCATCTAATTCTTTTTGAATTGAGCCTATCATCCTGGCCGATACATGTATCATCCAGGCCGATCAGCTTATGACGGCTGCTTTAATGAGGATGCCCTAATTAGAATTTTGCTTTTGGATAGATCGTCCAGGCCGATATACATATCATCCCAGACGATGTTACCAAAAACAGAAATCTTAAGGGAACAATAGAAAATCTTTCAAGTTACAAATCATCAGGTGCCACATCAAATACAATAGACTCAAGAAAGAAAAAAAGATACAAACTGACTCAGACTTAGTCTACCCAATCTTGAGCTGAATCTAAATTGCAGTCCGATCATGTGAACCTGAAATGTTAGTAGAAAGCAGTCGTAGAGAAACAAGAATTGTTTGCTATTATCAAAATCATAAACCATAGATCCGCAATAATCTCCCCCTTTTTGATGATGCCAAACATTTCAATTTGAATTTGCAAAAAGGAACATTTTCCTCTAATCTCTCCCTCACTAGAATAACACCTTAAAAAATAGGGGAGAAAAAAATATTTTTAAATTTTTTGAAAGTAATAAAAAGGATACAAATTCAACAGTACGTTCTCCCAATTTGACATTATCAAAAAGAGAGGAGGCATAAACAAAAAACAAAACGAACAAAAGACAAAAACGTTCCCTGATCTAGTGAAAAATTAAATATTCTTAAAATGAGAAAGTTACCTCTTGGTTTTAATCAAAAACTTAGTAGAATTGGATTGACAACACATACCCCAGAAAAGGTTAGAAATTCAGAATTTGAAAATCCAAACTCAAGTTCTTTAAAAAAGACTCAAAAATTTTTTAATTCAATATCTAAATCAAGAAATAAATTAAAAAAAAAACCACTAATTTTTCAAAACTCATTCCATAAAATACATTTAATAGAAGATCAATACACGAATTGTTGAATCATGAATCAAAATTTTCAAACTCAAGTATCAAAAGTATCAAGGGTTTTCTTAAGCTTTAAGAAGTACAAGAACGGTAAGCATTAAACTTTATGGGCCCATTTTATGCCTCTTGACAATTGGTTGGTGCACTACGCATCTTTTGATACACTTTGTGTATTCTATTTTTTTTTCAATTTGGCATCTTTGCGCATCTTTTATTTTTGGCATTATTGGCCAATATTTTGAGTATGCTACCTTTCTGAAATCTTAAAAATCAAAAGTAAACCCATACTATTGACAAAAACAAATATTCTTGATTAAGAAAATTATGAGGTAGATTCAACACCTTGCAAAAGATTCCTATGCGATAAATAAAATGTAAGGAGATACAAAAATTTGTTTCAATAACCAATTTAAAATATAAAAAGGATTTTAAATCAAAAGTAGAATAACCTCTTTTAGGAAACAGAGATTGAGAGTAAAAAACATGAGTTTCCTTCCTTTGACTGGTTTTTGAGATGTCAATCACAACTTACCAAAGATTTCAAGAAAAACACGAAGTAGATTTTTTATTTTTAGAAAAGTGAATGTGTGTGTTGATCAGAGAAAAGACACATAAAAATTTAACGAAAAAAAAGTAAGAAAAATAAAATAAAAAAACAAAACATCACAAAAATAAAAGGACAAATAAAATATGTAAACATAAAACAAATAAAGGTTTAAGCACCATCTTGCTCCTGGTCCGATGCTTCAGAGACCAGGTCTGCCCAAAAGATTTTTTTCTTTTTATTATTTTTCCAGTTTAAAATTTGCTTTGCTTTACCCTTTTTTTTCGCAGGAAGAGTTTTTAAATTAGGGCACTGATTTTTTATATATCCAGGCTTCCTACATCGAAAGCAAATAACGTTAGAAGAAATATTAACATCCTTACCATTTTTACCTTTCTTTCATTTTTGTTAATGCTTATGCTTTGATGAGCTTTTTAATTTGCCTGTCAAGTCATTGCTTTCGTCATCAACTAAGCTATATTTTTCCGTCTCTTCAGCTTTTAGAACAATCGTTTCACCTATATCCAAAAGTCTTTGACCCAAACTTTGCTCGTAGGCAATGAGTGAGCCAATTAAATTATTAATAGAATAATCATTCAAATTTTTTGATTCACAAATCACAACAATTTTAGCATCAAACTTATCCAGTAGATTGCGAAGAATTTTGTTAACTTTTTCAAAATTTGAAAATTCTTTTCCTAAAGCATACAGTGATGTCACAATTTGAATAAACCTAGTATACATGTCTAACATTGTCTCATAAGGTTTCTTGGAAAACAGTTCAAAATCATGCATTAACATATTCAACTTGGATTGCTTGATTTCACTAGTGCCTTCGTATATGCTGTGTAGTTTATCTCAAACTTCCTTATCAGTAGTGCACGTGGATACTAACATAAAATCTTCAGAATTTAAAGCACAAAAAAACGATTTAATGATTTTGCTTTCAATTGAGCATTGAGTTGTTCTTCCTTGTTCTATTAATTAAAAGGAATATCAATTTTAACTCTAATAATACGTGACGGTGATGAATAACCAGTTAGAATCATATGCCATATGCGAAAATCAATCGATTGCAAAAAAGTAGTCATGCAAATTTTCAAAAAATCAAAAGTAATATTTTCAAATAAAGGTGGTCTGGTGATTGAATAATCTTCTGTAATATTATGATTTGAAAAATTAGCCATGGATCGAAATTGAAAAGCTTTTGAAAACTTTTTTTTTGATACCTGCTCTGATACCACTTGAAAGTTCGTTAGGGATGTTAGGCCCTATGAACTGGCCCAAGGCTAACAAAGAGAGAGGTGAATTGGATAACTTTAAAACCAAAAATAAAACTCAAACAAAAAATCATCACAGAAATCAAAATGTAGAAAAAAAATAATGCAGAAGTAATAATAAGAAAGAACACACCAGATTTATAGTGATTCGGTCAAACCTTGACCTACGTCCACTCCTTGAAGGCACCCTCCAAGTATTGCACTACAAAAGTGTCTCTCCTTTAGCCCCCACAGCTAGGCGGAGAAGCCCTTACAAAATCACTTCCACCTTTCCCGGTGCGGCAGAGTCGCCGAGTCGTTTGACACAAAAGAGATCTTCTTCTTTGGTGAACTTCCCTCGAGACAAGCCTTAAATCCGACGGTATTCAGGTGCGAGCTTGCCGGAGCAACCGTGCGAAACCCCTCCACACTCCCTTGAGTCCCCCCTCACAAGATCTTCTCCCTTTCTCAAACTCCACCATTTCCTCACTCCCTTTCAAGCTCTCTCTTCAAGTTTCCCCCAAAAGAACGAAGCTACAATGGCTGCCAAAGATACTTACCAAGTGTCATGTCATAGCTTAAATAGAAGATCTCAAAACGAGCTCATTAATGCAAGTTGCCGACTTTATCGTCCTGGCCGATAAGTACAAATTAAGCTCATCAGCCCGGGACGATTTGGGACAATCAGAAGAAAATTAGTTACATCGTCCTAGACGATATCACGATCGTCCCGGTTGATTAATTTAAAACCGATCTCAATCGTCCTGATCATCGCCTGGAATAGATGATGTCCGATGTAAATCGTCCAGGCCATCGTCCTGGCCGATCCTACAATCATCCCGGACGATGTGATCGTATCAATCAGCCATTAATGCTTTCCAAATATACCAGATCAATTTAGGCATAATTGAGTTCCTAAAATAAAGAATACCTAATCTGATCATGGCGGTTGATTCTTTCTGAATTGAGCCTATCATTCTGGCTGATACATGTATCGTCCAGGCTGATCAGCTTATGACGGCTGCTTTAATGAGGATGCCCTAATTAGGGTTTCTGCTTTTGGACAGATAGTTCAGGCCGATATACATATCGTCCTGGACGATGTTACCAAAAACATAAATCTGTAGGGAATAATAGAAAATCTTCCAAGTTACAAATCATCAGGTGCCACCAAATACAATAGACTCAAGAAAGGAAAAAAGATACAAACTGACTCAGTCCTAGTCTACCCAATCTTGAGCTGAATCCAAATTGCAGTCCGATCGTGTGAACCTGAAATGTTAGTAGAAAGCAGTCGTAGAGAAATAAGAATTGTTTGCTATCATCAAAATCATAAA